ACTAGGGCTGTGCGATTATTCGATTACTCGAGCAAGTTGGTTAATCGGTTATTCGGTTAATCAATTACTCGAGTAATCAAGATTTTGATTACTCAAAACGATGATTAATCGAGTTACTTGAAATATGATTACTCAAAAAAATTAATTTTGCTCGTTAAAAGAGTTTACTTTGGAAAATGCTTATTTTCTTTTTTATATTCTGTATATGAAAAAATATGTATGTATGTATGTATTTCATTTTAATTTTTGAAAACAGAAACTTTTTTTTTCAAAGTATCAAGGACCCACCCGACCAACGTACACGAGAATGCATCCGTTTTAGATATTTTAGCAACACTTTCACTTACAAAACTATTGAGAACGGGTTCCGAAAAAGTATCGTAAAAGTATTACCTGTCGCTCAGTTTGTGGCAGCAGAGCTCTCGTTCTCGACATGCGTTTTCAAATGGTTTTTCGAAGTGTTTTCGATAGTGGAAACGTATCTCAGGCGGAAGTTATTGCGATCCGTTTTGCTATCGAGAAACTAATGAAAGCGGCAATGTTTTCGATCTGGTCTATTATCGAGAAAGTAGCGAAAACGAAAGATATTTCGACCCGTTTCTCTATCGAGAAATTAATGAAAACGGCAATGTTTTCGATCTTTTCGATTATCGAGAAAGTAGCGAAAACGAAAGATATTTCGACCCGTTTCTCTATCGAAAAATTAATGAAAACGATAATTAGAGCTATTCCATTCCAGTTGATTCCCATATAAGAAGAGTGCTTTTAAAATTTTAACAGTTGTTCTATATTTAATAGGGTGTTCAGTTTTATCAAGTTTTAAAACAATTTAAATATTAAAATAATAAATATTCATTACTTAAAAATTATAACTTGAACATGTTATTAAAACTATTTATTCGTGAACATCATTTTGAATCCGTTGTTTTTTTTCCTGGTACTTGTAAATTTTGCAGACTCGGTCATGTGCGTACTGAAAAAATTTTTGACTTACTTTGTCAAATTCGCTCTCCTCCAACGCAAACTTTTTTGTAAACGCATCTGAATAAAATGTTAAAAGAAATTAAATGACTATTCGATACAGCTGTTCGACTTACTTCGAATTGCCAAGGCCAAATTCATCCCTCTTATGCATTTTTTTGCCCCTGTCCCACGCCATGAAAACTGCTGCGCTAACGTGTCTTCAAACAATGACCGCCACGAGCTTCTTATAAATTTATCGTACGACTTCTCTCCATTGGTGCAAATTTCATGAACCTGAATACAAATATGGGTATATTAAAACAAATATATATTAATGCAATCATTGGAAATTCAAAATTAAATTAAGTGTCTGCTTGTAATAAATTGTATTGAGAAATGAAACATTCAGCCCTATCGCCAATTCCATGTGAATAAATCGTTCCCATAATTTGACATGCAAAACAAAAACAAATTGGGAAAAATTGTTTTTGTTTTACTTCATAATTTTTGGGAATATTTGTTCATGTGAAATTCGCGATAGGGCCGATTCTTTTAGGAAAATACATAAAAACTACACTTACAAATTTTTTAAATACTTCTTCGTTCTTAAGTTTTTTTCAAGGTTATTAATTTCTTCTAAAGTTGAGAAAGGAGAGCGAGGAACTATTTCACGCTCAATGGATATTTCTCCGTAAACTTTAGCTTTTATGGAAGTAACCTCGTTCCTTACAGAAATCATTTCCATATTGAGACGATCAAATTTTGTTGTTAATTCACTAACTTTTCCATAGACGTCATGCAAAAGTTTAAGAATCTCTAATAAAGATTATTTTGTAATTTTTGAAATTGTTATAAAGTATTCAATAAATACCTGTTAATTGTTTTTCATTGTTGTTGTTATATAAGTTGCTGTTATGTGCAGGCCTTTGTGTGTAAATTGTTCCATCGTCCATATTGAAAAGGTCGGTATATTGATGTGCCATTTTAACCTAATAATGTATCAATGGCATATAAATATGTATTTGGTCAATAATATGACAAACTTTCCCAGATATTTTATCTTCTGGGTGTTTAATTATTTCAGAGTCTATTTCGAAACTTTTAGAAGAAAAAATACCCACCAAGGTCGAGTCTATAGGATAACTAAAAAAAGGATCTAAGTCAGTAACTAAATTACTAAATAAAGTATTATTGACTATTTCAAAAATTTTGTATATTTTGTAAACGGAATGGTCTATAACAAAATAAAATGAATTAGTACCTTTCAAGTCAAAGTAAAAGTCCTTATAGACAATATTTTTTCGGGAAACGTCTGAATTTAGTTTACATTCTTTGTGCACAACATCAAATAAACTTCGCTCAACTATGCGGTTATAAAGCTGCTCTAATACGTTATCACTTTTTTTTACCATATTTTTGAGTTGTCCTAAGAAATTTTCAAAAGGAAAAGCACTTATGGTTTCAAGAGAGCCAAAAATCCTTGATTGGCTACTGAGATGGGTTAAACAATGAAAATTATATGTTAACATCGTCCCAGAGTATAATGAGGAAACGTCCTTCACAAAGTTGTTTAATAAACTATTTGCAAGTGCATTTTTGGTTTTGCAATATTCATTGTGAAGAAAAAGCCTCATCGCCAAGCTCAGATGCAAGAAATGATTGTACCTCTCAATGTCTAAAATGCTTCTCAAAACTATTGGTCCATTGTATAGAAGAAAATACCGAAACTCAGTAGCTTTATATCTTTCAAGCTCGTCAAGGGCTCTAGGCAATCGGTTAAATTCTTTTGGCACAAATTTTCGTATTCAATGTAGTTTACAACTAACCAAACTAATTGATTCTTTACTTAGTGAAAATGGGTGACCTCTTGTTCATGTCAAAGCGACCAAAAGCGTTTTAACTACTCCCAGACACACAACATGCATATAATCAAAAGGGAATTGCAAAACCATGTCAAGTGGCAATTTTTCTAGAATCAATTCGCTTGTAATATTATGATGTTCTGGTTGTAAACGGGTTCTAAAACTTTCGTTGGTGCGGGGTAAGGCATCCGAGTTTTTAAATATAAGACGCCGTTGAAAAGACTCGCCTTTTTGAATGCATTTATTGCAAGAAAAGTAACCAGAGTGATGCTTAACTCCTAAAGTAAAAGCGCGGGCTGGGGCATCACAAATGAACGATCTTATTTTTACACTAAAATATTTTTCCTCGTAAGACATTCCATTGGCTAATAACTCTTGCAATTCTTGAACGAACTCTCTTAAAAAAATATTGGGATCCTGCGGTTTAGAGCAGCCGGCATAAATCCCCGCAACCAAAACGGGCTTAGTATCAAGCACATTTATTAGAATGGGCCAAACTTGCTTACGGGAACTTTTAAATAAAGGGAGACCATCTATATTAATGTTAAGTGAAATGTCTGAACGGTCAAATTGAAAATTGCGCAAAAAGTCCGTAAGTGCGTCTTTCACTCCATAGTGAACGTACTCTCCTGGTTGTACGAGTCTTTTAACAATCGTACGTGGTGTACATTTCAGCGTGCGCACATCACGTGGCAAATCAGAAATTTTCTCTGACAGTAGTGCAAGCAAATCGTTCGCACCCTGTCGACTAACATTATTCGTTAAAAACCACCGTGCCAGACGAGCAGTAAAGTTGGGAGAGTCTATTGGTACGTCATATGTATGATCTGCTTCATTACAAGCACTATTTGAATTAATATCTGCTGCTTTAAGAGTCGTGCTTGTTGCAGTCCCATTAATATGTTGAACAGAAGTTCTTTTAAAGTGCCGAAATTCGGCAATGTATTGGCGACGTTTTCTTTTAGGCGGCATTTTCTAAGAAAAGAAAACTTGAGTAGCTTTAATAAATTGATACTTTATAACTACATGGATGCGATAAATAATAAGTTCTTTACATCGCGAACACTCAATGATATTACGCTTCGCAGGCGATAATACCACCCTTTGTCACTCATACGCCATGGCATGCGAGTAACAATTAAGTGCAACCCAAAATCACTCGCATAAGTGACCAAGGCATTATAAAAAAAAATAGTCAGTTACTTAGTTAAATATATTTATTTATTTATACTTACTATGATGTTTTATATGGTTCCTTAAAAAGTTTGATCCAACTGTGTGAGTTGTGCTATTTGTATGATAAGGATAGTCAGTTTATTAGTTATCAAGTTATTTATCATGCAAAGGAGTTTCAATACTTACTCTGATTTATTTTGTGATTCCTTACAATTTTCAATTATTGTATTACGTGAACGCACATGAAACAAAACGTTTTACTTTTTAATGACAGAAAATTTCTAACAAAACTAAACTGTTAACTAAAGCAATGCCTCCTTCTATTTACTTTTTCGAATATTTTGTCCGAGAAAAGTTAGAGAAAAATTATTAAACGAATACATTCTCAATACATTCAACGGACAGAAAAGCAAAAATACGAACTTCCGTTTGAAATACGAGACTCTTAGGTGAGCCGGAGCGTGCGGGTAAGAGAAACTATCGTAAAACTCGTAACATCCGCTAACATACGTTTCTTGGTCGGGTGGGGAACTTCAACTGCTTTATATGTATGTATGTAAAGAGTACTTTGAAATGTTGATTACTCATTTTATTCATAATGTTGATTAATCATAAAGCAAATTACTCAAATATTTTGGTTTTTTGGTTAATCAAAATCTTGATTATTCGAGTAACTGAACTTTTGAGTAATCATAATTTCCAATTAATCGAATAATTGAGTTATTTACTTTATGATTAATTAAAATTTTGAATAATCAATTAATCGCACAGCCCTATTATTTACACTTATTTGAATTTGCGTTGTTTCTCTAATCGTTCTCGAATCGAATTCTAATGTAGTTCTCTAACTTCGTCATCGACTCGAGAACGATTAGAGAAATACCATTTTTTTTATAAAAAAAGCCTATTCATGGCTTAGCTTAATCATGGCCTACGGCCGATACGCTGCCGAAGGAAAATTGCTGCGCTGCCCCTATCGACGTCCGCTGCCGACGTTTGTCGTCGTCGTCGTCGTCGTTCAAATGTTTTATTATTTTTACCATGCATATTCGAATTTGCATATACGATTTTGAGTATAAATAGAAGAAAATTACTAGATTAAAATTAAATGTTTTATTACAGTGACAGTGAGAGTACAAGTAGTGTTTGTTCGTATAATTACTCAGATTCAAATAAATCTGAAAATGAGTTTGAGGAAAGTAACAATTCGAGATCCTGTGATATTGGACGACGATTCTCCGGCTGCATCAGAAAACGAACAGGAAGTTCAGAATCGACAAGAAATTCTTATAAACGATTCCGATGTAACTCAAACAATTCTGAATACACAAATTGTAGAGGAAGCAGTAGTGAAGGAGAAGAAGAGAAAAAGGACAGCGGAGACAAGTTTGTCCAAAAAGAAGAAGTTGGATGTGGAATTAGAGATGAAGAAAGCGATGTCAATTATGTTATCTAATGTAGAAATCCAAATTTCTCTAACGTTAGAGACTGTGTTTGCTGGGTTTCTGTTAGCTTTCCCAGAAGCAATTTTATCAAGGCCTTCCATTGATAAGGTATTACAGAACAGCTCCTAAGCAAGTGCGAAGCACAATGCAGAGAAACAAAGGTGGCGCCTTCCGCTGACCGCTAATCCTCTTCTTCTCGATTTAAAGGGTGGATCCCTTTCGCTGACGTCACATTATTAAACTAAACTAAATATTGGGGTCATTCCATATAAATGAAGAAAACGACGTAAATATTAAAATGCCCTAATTATCTCTATTTCAGTAGTAACCTCTTTT